AGGCTACTCCATTTCTTCTACAGGATTCTTGTCCACAGTAGTAGATATGATGATCATCTTAATTGAATTCGCCCGTTCTCGTCCATTTTAGTTCACTGATGCCCAGGATGTCAGGTTTGATGGTGTTTTGCATATGTATCCTGTTACCAATGTCCTATTTTAGATAGTAATCTATTTTTAATTAACTGGGTTCAATGGGAAAGAGGTAGGAGTATATATTAAACAAATACAGCTGTTTCATTTCTGCTCTATTTTTTCTATAGCCAAAACATACCAGTTGTATATTTGTCACTTTTCTCTCTCTTTTCTATAACTAGAACATATCAGTTTTTCTGATATCCCTGTTGATATGGAGGCTGTATAACAGGGCGCCTTATCCCTGTCATGTGTTTCTCATACATCCCAAGATACATCCTCTTTAAGCTTGACTTGCAAGGATTATGCTCTGTTTTAATTAAAACACTTGACTCCACTTAAGACTGCAATATTCAACCCCTCCAGTACTTTGCCTACCTATTGCTAGAAATGCAATTTTCTTTTACAGTTTATGGTGGAGATTTTGCCCTGTGTTTCTGCATTGCAGCTAATTTTATTTTTAATGTCCATTCTTTGTGAAAACTGGCACTTTTAAAAATAAGCTCTGTGTTCAGGGAAAACATCTCTCTTGACAAGCTATTGTTCATTAGAAGCTAAACTCTTCCTACCAGTTTGCCTGAAAGGGATTGGGAAACAGTTGAACATTAACAAGATGTGAATTTTATTCATTCTTTTTTGTGCCTCCCAATGTGCAAGCTCTTACAGTGAACAAATAAAATCATGGTATTATCTGCTTATGTGTCTTTAGAAATAATAAACAGCCTGATACAGACTTCTGTCAAAAACTGGGTACATACACTGGATTGGTTCTCTTCACCCCTTCTTTATCCTTAGTGTGCTGAATCTAAGCAGTGAAACATTGCATATAAACATGTTTTGTGTTAATTCCTGCTTCATTGAAGTCACTGAAACAGTGCAACTCACTGCGTTAGTAAAATCTGTTAACCAATCCATGCTGTTGTTCACAGTTCCTATACATTTGAATCTTCACAGTATTTGTTTTTTGAGGAATTCTGTTCAGTGAGGTTGTACCCCCACAAAACCTGGCTAACTTCCTTTCTCATCTTTAGCAGGCTTAGAAATGAGTGTAGTAATTAGAGGGTTGCAGTGCTCCATTTAATTAAACCTCTGATCCTCTCTGGGAGCTTTTCAGAAGCTCTCTAGAGACACTGTGCCTCCCTTAGGTAATAGACTGCCATGCAGTTTTCCAAATCCCCAATGGTGAAGTTTGCATCTTTTCCCAAGGGAAGAAGCAGAGTAGGATCTGTCAAGTTTTAATTGAAGATATTTTTTTTTACCTCCAATCAGAGATATGTTTCAGGTTGTGACAGCATAAGCCTTTTGGCATCCCTAACCTTTTCAAAGCTTGTTCCTTGAAGAGCCTGTCAGGGACGTGGATATCTTTCAACTGCCTTAATGTAAACCATTTAAAAATGTAATCGCTGAGTTTTCTACATGAAAAACAATACATGGAATATTTTCTACATCTTTTGTTCTTCCAAAAGTGCCTTAAAAATATTAATAATTTCTGAAAACAGCACTTAAGGGGGAAAAAATCTGTCTCCATGTTCTTTGCTTTTGTGATGTATAATGAGATACCATTTCCTATATCTTGTTCTTGTTTGTTTGTGTTCCTCCTCCATGCTTTGTTCACTTTGCTTCTATAAAAACTGATTGACTTCGTAGGCTAACTCAGAGTAATCCTTTGTAAGAGTGATGACATATTGCAGTGTCTGTATATACAGTAGTTAAAATTGTGTTCCCAACTACAGTCAGAGTTCTAGACAACTTACTTGTTTTCCATGCTTTCTCTAATACAGTTCAAAGCAGATAATAAATAAACACAGTAACCAAAATTATACAGAATAATTGCATTCATTAGAGTACATTGGCTGAAACTACAGTTGGCCCATTGTTGCAACTAGAGCTAGCCCGTTGAATCAGTAGGGATTGTGTGACTCAGCTCTTCCATGAGTTTGATAGATTCAGTGACCCTGCTCTAGTTCTGGTTTACTACTGGATTTTATTGAACATGTATGGTATATACTGTAATACAGATTGTATTATGTGGTCAAATATATTATGGTTCCTCGTCATCCCTTGCTTAGGTACATTGATTGTTGACACTGACACATAACATTCATATCACATAAGAAACAAAACAAAACAGAAGCAAAAAATACAAAAATTAAAAATAAAGAAGGAAAAACCCTTGCATCACCTGAAAGACTAACAGCTATAAAATATAAATATGCAAGTAGTCTTTAAGATGTCACAACAATTTGTCTTCTTTATTTGTTATTTTTTGTTTCTGCTTCTGCTTTGTTACTTGTCTGATATGCTTGCACAAACTAACATGGCTGCTTCTTTGAAAACAGAATATTCAGCTGCTGTTTTACCTGTCCCCCATGATTTAAACCCTTAAGGTTAAAAAAAAAAAATCCAGATTTTGGCCTTTTGGCAGCTAGGAGTCACTTTCTGCTTTCCAGAATGCAGCCTTGAAAAGGACGCCTGAGCTAGCAGAGACAATGAGGAGGAGTTGGACTTGAGAGTAAATGAAAGAAAGCAGAGTGTTTCTAGGGAGAATTAGTCCAAACTAAAGTGGAGCTTGGTGAGACAGCGCTACAAGCTGTTATTGGGGTATTTGATGTGGGCATTTGGCTGCTCGTGCTGTTCACTTGCATGTTTGTAAATAATGCACTGCTGTAAACACCATAACTCTCCAGTGCTTTTCCATCAAAAGTAAATTAAACCTAATGCCATACTGAGTTGGAACCAATCTAAGTTTCCTGTGCATGAGAAAACTTCTCACATCAGCAAGAAATGTTTGATTTAGCTGATCTCTTCCGCTGGATTTAACCATCCTGGATTCAACCATCCTTTTGCTGTCCTCTGTTCTTTACAAATCTGCATACAGAATGTGCGGCTAAGGGATGTAACAGAACAATGGTGAACGTAGCCCTTGGGGCTGTAGAGAAATGGGAAAAATGATTGTGAGAGGGCATTCTACTTGGGAACATTCACGGGGCCAAAATAAAATTCTGGACTCACTCATTGTTCCTGGAACATCTTGCCACTCTAAAGTTGGAAAGTCACAGTAATAATAATAATGATGCGGGGGGGAAGAGGTATGTAAAAGTTAGAAAGCTGTTACTTTGAAGTGACCTATGCTTTGTAATTTGTAAAGAGATAGTACTAGGGCAGGTGCCTGAGTAAATGTGATAAAATTGAGCTGTGATTTGTTTTTCTAATGGGAAGATGTCCAAACTGATAAGAATATTAAGGATGCGGGGGACTTGGTTTCAGCATGTTTTTACAACAACTTTCCAATGTTCGCAAATTTCTTCCTATTGAGAATGGAAAAAACTTGGGAGTAAAAATAATTTGAAATATGAGATAAACCAAAACTGACATATTTATCCATCCAGGCTCAGAGTTTGGAGTGCTTAACTCTTAAAAGTCTGAATGTCAATCATTGTGTATACAATCATGTTGGAGCTGAAATTGGGTTGTCATCTCCTCCCCCCCCCCCCAAGGTTTCTCATCTGTTCTACAGCATGCCAGACAGGTATGACATAGGCCTCTCCATGTTGGGAATAGCTGCAGTTGCTGAATTTAGGTAATGCAGATGGGTTAAAAAAATCAGTTTATTGCTCAAGAATTTGCAAAAATGTGCAGAAAATAATCAGAAATAGGCCATGTGGTGTCCTCCCCCCCCAAAAAACAATGTCAGTACAGAAGCAGGAGATACCCTTATTGGACTACTGAAAAGATCAAGTAGATGGTGAACCTTTGATGGTTATATATCCATCTTCCTCAGGCAGTTTTCAAAAGTTTCTTGGCATGATGGTTGTTCATGCCAGGCAAGCATTTTTGAGCAGCATGCAGACAGCTGGTGGGGTGGGAATGGAAACTCCTTCAAGTAGTATCTTAGAATTTATGTCCATCTTTGCTTTTCCCTCCCTCCATCATAGCCTTCTTTTGATGCTCCGGGCTTCTGTTTGGCTTGGAGGGGAAGGCAACAGCCACATGGCAGTTTTCCTTCAGAGAACTGGGATTAATATTTAGTTTAATCACTAGGGAATGCTTAGAAATTTTAGAAATACAGTCAGACTACTTGGTGGACGTTTTCTGTAGTGCTGCTTAGCTGGTGTCAAAAGCCCACATTGTTTGTGTCCTAATCAGCCGGCCATTGAAGGAATATCTTACATCGATCAGGAAAAAAATCAGAAATAGGTCATGCTTCCCATCCCCAAAAGACAAAAGTTCATAAATTTGCAGATCACATATTTGGGATGGGAGGAACCTTCCTTTCTAAAGATATTTTTAAGTATTTGAATATGGCCGAAAGTGAAGTAGATAATAAATGCAAATGACACCCTTCAAGTTTCCATGTAGGATGTCTTACAGCAATTGACACCAGTCACTGATAACAGTACTGAACTAGGTGGAATAACGGGTTGTTTCTGTGTTTTCTAATCATTGTGCATGGCTAAAACAGCTTAATACATATTTCCCAAATAATTGTTATATTCATAATTTTTAAGTTGTCTGGGCATTGGTCTTGCCTGGTTTTCACCATATGCTGAAAATAACACATTCCTTTTTGAAGCACAAAGAAAATTTGTGCATAGGAGGCGTGATAGTCAGGATTGTGCATAAATAGGCTTCTACAGTAGAACTTTGCAATATGCCATCACCTTTTGACAGAATAATATCTAAGACAATTTTAGGATGTTGCATATTGATTAGAACACGAACGAGGAGGTAGTTGTAACCTCAAACTGGTTGAAAAGCAAAGCTGAGAATACACTACCTCCTGTTCAGTCAGGCATCACTAATGAGTGATGAATGGAAATACCATCCTTGTCATGTCTCATTGTCCATCTGTCTCTTTTTCCTAGGAGGTGATTTTCTCTCCTTTCTAAGAAAGAAGAAGGATGAGCTAAAAATCAAACAGTTAGTGAAATTTGCATTAGATGTTGCTGCTGGAATGGCATATCTTGAATCCAAAAACTGTATACACAGGTAAGGTAAATTCATATATTCTGTGCTGTAGATTTGGACATTTAAACATCAGAAAAAAGGAAATGGCTGGAAATAAAGCTGGTTTCACATCTTTTTTACTGTAATGTTTTCTTAAAATAAATAGCATCTTGTTTGTGCTCCAGCAGTGCTCTGGCCAGTGGATAGGACTCCATTCACTTCTACGGCAGGAGATAGTAGAAGTGAGTGACAATAACTGACAAATAGACCAGAGTGTTTGAGGGAGAGAGCAGAAGAAACCATGCTATTTAATGTGGCTTTCACTATAGCCAGTGCTTACAGTCAGTATGGGCTTTCTCTTGCCATAAGACTCTTCTTTTCAAGAGACTGTGGAAATTTGCAATTTCAAAGTGATGTTTATTCCTCTACCTCAGTGGTTCCCAACCTGGGTAACCCAGGACTCCACTTCCCAGAAGCCTTCAGCACCAGCTGTGCTGACCAGGGTTTCTAGGAGTTGCAGTCCAAGAATATCTGAGTTAACCAAGGTTGGTTACCACTGATCTAGCTGATGTCAAAACTGGATGTGGATGTTCTTTCAGTTCAGTGGGCCCAGGCCACTCAGAGATTTCCCCTCTAAATTGTGAATTTTAGATTTATTTATTTATCTCACCCTACATTTTTTCATATGATGTTTAACATATTTTATATATATTAAACAATTTCAAAATCGATAATCGTCCCATCCATATATAATTCTGGTCAAATGTTTATTGTTGCCTGAATCAGCTTGGCTTACTCTTGGACTCGCACCCTCCCCCGACCCTCAAAGTTAATGTGTTTAAATAGACCATAGCTAGGCCTGATTCAGAGGCTTTGATCAGAGGTAAGAGTAAATTGCTGTTAGTTAAAAATTGAAACCAACACTTCTGATTTCTTCCTCATATCGATGGCAAGTCCAAGGCTTGTTCATATAACTCTAAATTACAATTTTACATTATATCTCTGTAAGCCCCATCAGGCCTACTAGGGCCGATGGGTGGCCTCGCTTCCATCCCATGACCCACATACTCAACACCAGCTGGTTCAAACAAAGAGGGTTCTTCGTAGTGGCCTCTGTGAATGCACAGAAATGGTTTTTACTCTGCGCCTGCGCAGGATGTTCAGAAGATTCTAGAGCTTAGAAAAAAGAAACAGTTTAGTTCCCCCCCCCGGGCACAAGCTCCACCTCCTCAACCTTCCTTTCAGTTCCTTTTTTCCCTGCCATTGGTTTAGGACATGAGGAACAGTAGAGCGTTAAGGAAAGTAAATTCAGCTTTGGTAGAGATTCTACCGCGTTTCATTTTCCCCCCTAATCATTTAATTTGTTGATTATTTTATTCTTAATATTTTTTCGTAGCGATAGATATCTGTTTTGTCCTTTTTCGCTACCCTGCTTTTGATGATGTTCCTCCCAGTAGTTTGTTGTGGTAGTAGCCTCAGATAATGTTGCTTCTCCCTGTTTCCCTGGGGTACTGTCACTTGTACCTAGACCCTGGTCGAGGAGGGTCTTCCTTTATAATACAGTCCCATTCACCCTCCAGCTATGGGTCATCTTCTTTGTCTTCCTCCATGCTATAGGCTTTACCTAATTCTTCCTGGGCATTTCCTCAGGCTCAGTCATCTTCCCACTCCGAGGAGATTTTCTCTGCTGTCTCCTTCTCCCCATCTATCCTGGCTTCCACCACCTCTAGGGCGCCCTTTATATCACCCACCTCCAAGTTAGACTCCTTCTTCTCTAAGAAGAAGGAGTCTTCTCCTCACCTTCACCACTGCCAATACCAGCTGGCAGTTCCTTCTTAGTTTCTCCTGGCCATGTTTCTGTCTAAGTTTGGCTATCCCTGGCTTTTCCATCTCTAGACTCCATGTCCATTGGAGTTGTGCCACTACTCTTCCTTGGGCCTGGTTTGTGGTTAGATAGCCCACCAAGGATGCCCTGACTGGCATCCACGTAACAATCTCAGTCATGCCAATATTTCTTTGTGCAGATAATGGCCCCATTTGTCATTTCTGTGATTAAAGCAAAAACAAAGGACGCTGCTTATATACCCAGCCCATAGTACTGAAAACACTCTCTGAGTGCTTTAGAATTTAATTATGCAGGCTACACATTGCCTCACTCCTGGCAAGCAATTACAAGAACTCATTTTACTGACCTCAGAAGGCTAGGTCAGCCTAGCGCCAGATACCTGGTATTGAACCCAGGTTGTGAGCAGAGTTGTGACTGCAGTAGTGCAGTTTTGCCACTGCACCATCTGGCTTTGATCAGTGAAAATATAGTTGTCTTTACAGGGATGTTTGCTGACTTGCCTCATAAGGTATATCATTTTCTTACACAGAACACTGCTCCATCTAGGTCAATACTGTTCATAGTGACTAGCTGTGTCTCTCTGCGGTTTCAGGCTGGAGTCTTCCCTAGCAATGCCTGAGGAATGCCAGGGATCACATCTAACTAAACAGCATGGGCTAACTAAAGTTCTCTAAAATATTTTTCTGAAAGATCATTTATTTATGTTCTTTTGTGTGCATAAATGATGCTGAAGTGGGGCTTCCCTTAAATTGTTCTCTGAACCTTATGGTGCGTTTCATAGTGCAATGTGTGAAAGGGCAATATCTGTGCATTTACAGCTACAGATACCTGGATCATACATCTGTTAATATGTGTATATGTCTCACATTGTGTTGTATTTGTGGCACTGCAGATCAGAAAGGTTTCTTTGTTGGAATATATATAACATACATTTTTTTGCATGAAAAATGCCAGACTCCTATCATGACGGAGGGAAAACGTATTTGCATAATTAACTGAAAGAAGAGAGTTTTGAATATCTCTTTTTTAAAAGCTTGAAATACAGATTTTCACGTTCGCTGACAGTTTGGAATATCTTCATGCAGTTGTCAAAGAGGAAGCCATGTTAGTATGTTTCACCATGTATAAGAAAAGCAGAAGTGTTACGGCACTATAAAGATTAGCATTTATTTCACTGTCAACTTCTGTGGATCGCAACCCATTTTTTCAGATGTAGCTACTGGTGCAGTTAAAGTGTGAAATATATAAAGAGGCATCAGCATGGCTTGGGATGTTAGACTGAAAAAATAATTCAGTCTCTGGAAAAATAAATGCTTTTTTACCATTAATTATGAAAAGATAAACATTTAATTGCTTTAATCTTTTATTCATTAATGGTTCATTTTGTAAGAAACTGGAATTTATAGCAAATGCCATTTTTGGTTGTCAGCATTGCACATTTCGTTACTGGCTCCTTTAAAAGTGCGCTTTTTAGATCCACTAGACTACAAAACATGTAAAACTGATTCCTGGAAGAGGATGGGGTTTATTGTGCACCACATCTGTAAACTGTTCAGTTGAGGATTGCTTTGAGTTCTGTTTTATTAAGATTATTTATAGAGAGGTTAATTGGCTAACTTGTAAGTAATCAAGTAAATCTAAACAGTTATTGTTTCCAAGTTCCAGGCATCGATATTAGAAAATCTCCCTATCTTTAGAGTGCAAATTAGTTATTCAGATACTCTAATCCCACTTGGCAATTACATAGGTAACGTAGAAGGTAATGCTCAAACTGCAGATGTTTCCTAAAGCCTCAGGATTCTCTTCCCTAGCCCAGTTTTGCTCAAAGCCCACCTCCAGAACCATCCACACGTGCCTTCAGGACATACGTGGCATTGAGCATTGAGCCAGAGCACATAGAAGGTTCCTCAGAGCTGTTAGGAACTTTTTACTTGAGCTATTCATTTTCAAGCTGTCTCCTGTGCTTTGAAGCATTTTAAATAGTGCTCTTTTCACAGCAGTGTCATCCACTGAGGGTCATACACAGGTGAATATTATCCTGTTTTGTTTCATTTGTTATGGATCCATAGTTCTTTATCGCACTGACATTGCAATATTGTCAGCTTTTATTTCTTAAAAGAAAGAGCTATGCTTATAACAAGTTACCAAGCAGGATTAATTTTTTAGTATAATTCTGGAGAAAGAGAAAAATTGTTGTGCTTTTCAATATGTTAAACATTTCATTTCATCTCTGTATCATTCCCTCCTCTCTCCTCTGCTACTTCAAATGTTTGCTCTCTCCTTATTTATGTAAATATTATGAGAGTTTTTATGTTAATACAATTCCAATAGTGCTTAGTTCCCCACCATTTGAGACAGTAAGGGTGCAGAATAGCATGTGATCATTAATGAGTAATTTTTAATTCTCTCTAGAGTGAAATTTTCTGTTCTTTGCCCTTCCATCTCGTTCCTTCTTCCTTGAATATGAGAAATCATTTCTTATATAAATTGCATTAAGAGGCAAGTATGCTATTATAGGTTCCATTTGAGTCATTAAAAAACTCTTTGACTGCAGAAGGCCATAATGCAGATGCATGGCTGAATAAATATATCTTATGAAAGTTTTACTTTGTGTGATGCATTATGTAACAGTATGAATCATTACATCCTTTTATTTTCTAAATAATCTAGTTATATAAAAATAAAAAGTGTGTTATTTTAAACTGTTCTAGTATTATAGAAGTCAAATTGTTCAACTGAATTTGGAGAAACTAAAGTGACAAAAAAGAAACAAACTCCTGTTTGTTCTTGAACATAATTCCGGTCCTCTCTGGAGCTGAAAAGAGCAGACCCACACCGTTGGTGACTGTCTCACTTTTGCCATGGAACAGCTGTGGACATGAAGATATACTGGGTGAGAGCTGGACAAGGCCAGGTCATGCCACATTCAGTGCACTTTATCATGTATCATCCCCACATGACATCAGCAATGTTGTCCATTATTTATTTATCTGTATCTTGCCGTTCTAGCATACACAAATACAACAATAATGAAACTTGACTTCAAAGCAATCATCTTGGTTAAAACAAAACATAAAAGAGAGCATTTTGCAGACAGTGGTCAATATCGTCTTGAGCTTCTTTGGAATGGAAGGGCCTCCCAAGCCTAGTAATATGGGGTCACACCATTTGTGTAAGTGTTGTCTTGTAACAAAGG